TATAAACGAGTCCTCGGCTGACCCAAGGGACGGTGTAGCACATACATGTTCTGCGTGAGAGACTTTGGTAAATTGAAAAGAGCGAGCAGGACAAACAGCACTCTCGTATCCACTGTTGATACTGTTCATTTCCTCACATGTGCAGAATAAATGCAGCCGTTCAAAACACACGTGTGCAATTTCACACCAGAAGCTTTCACTCTGACACCTGGACCTAAACATTTCTGGGTCAGTGGAAATGATTGCTGTTGTCGTGCAGACAAATGTCCGAATCATTGTCGTGTGAACTGAGCCTAACTTTTACAGCCCCACGTCTATAAGGTCTGTTTCTGTCACTAAATTTAAAATGTTTCCATTTTTTTCAACAGTAATTTCTTACTTTCAACCTCTGAGAAGTTTATTATGTTCTACGGAGCAAAGAAAGAGTTCATTTACAAATGATTGCATTCTGATTTCATTTAAAAACAGCCTGATTACAACACATTTTCTCCTCGTCTATCATTCGTCACGATGCTAACTCTGAGCTTCCACCGTCCTGCAGATGGAAATGCGCAGCCAGGACCTCCAGCTGGCTCAGACCCTGCTGGGGCTCAGCTCCGAGATCCAAAGACTGAGGAGGGAGAGTTTCGGGGCTGTGGACGCAGAGGGGGACGACCAGCAGTAAGACGTCCGTCACACTGCTTCTTTGGGACTTAACTGACCGAGGAAATCCGTGGAGGATGAAGAAACAACTACTAATAAAACGACAGCGCACCTTTTATTTTAAATGAATGATTCAGAACTAAATAAAGCAGCTGCATCACAACTAAATGGATCTAATAATGAGACAAATAATAAAATGTGCAACTCATTTTTTCCTTATTTTATCTTTATTGAGCCAACAAACTATGCCTTATATAAAACTATATACCTTATTTTTCAAATGTTACTCAATAAAAGCTTAAACTGAACTGATTACAGTAGTCCCTCGTTTATCGCTGTGGATATTAAACCCCGCGATAAGTGAAAACCCACAAAGTAGGGATAGTAGTACAAGTCAATAGTAGTTTATTTTAGTATTTATATATATTAAGGTGTTTTAAACCCTTCTCACACTCTTGCAATATTCTAAACAATGTTTCTAAACTCTAAACGCTCTAAAAGAGCACAGAATGTCATGACTTCAGCTCTCTGCCTCCTCTGCTCTTTGCCATCTGCAAGCGCTCTTGGCCACGCCCACTTCTCCGCTCTGCATGGAGATCAGCTGATCAGCTGCAGGAGGAAGCTTATCCTGCAGTGTGGGCTGCACAAAGGTACAGCAGGTGCTAAATAATTTAAAATAATTTATTTTAAACAAAAATCCCATGCCAATTGTGTGTCACGTCCAATCTTACTTTGAAAAAACGCGATAGAGCGAATCCGCGATAAACGAACCGCGAAGTAGCGAGGGACTACTGTACAGGTTATTTATATGCTGTTCGAATCAGGAACCTTTAATTAATGACACGATGGCGTGATTGTAAATCAGTTTGTCGCTCTACGAGACAGCAGCGGCTCTCGCTACATGACGGAAATTATTAGAGTCTGAAAATCTTTAAAAAGAGCAACGAGGGGATCAGCCTGCAGGAAAATTACAGCCATGCTCTGCACAAATCCAACAAAATATGCAACTTTTAGAGCAAATTATCTACAAATTTGATCAGTTTGAAGTAAAAAAAACTGTAAAATAAAAATTGCTCTGAAGGAGCTGAATGATGTAAAACACTAAAACTCATCAAAACAAGCGTTTAATTTAAAAAAAAACATTTTTAGGTACATTTCTCATCTGCATTAGACTATTGTATTTTTTGAGTCACTAATGGCATTTTTATAAAACAAAACATTGTTTCATACATTAAAATATTTATTGTTTGTTTTCTATTATTAGAAAAAGACGAGATTAATTCGTTTTAATGCATTTTCACGGCACAGAGCTCCGCCTGTGCTGCGCTTTTCCAGGCAGACCCCTCGAGTAAAAAGGCCGAGGCGTCTTCTGACAGAATCCTCCGAATGTGAAGCTGCCGCTTCCGTCTTCGCTCCCAGAATCCCAGGAGCTGCCCTCCTCTTCCTCCTCGGACAGCTCCTGACTGAGCTCCTGGATGCCGGAGTGCAGCTCCATCAGCTGCCGGATCAGAGCCTGGTCCTGGGACCGCATCTCCATCTGCACACAGACGCTCCGGTTTAGTTTGTGCAAAACACATCAGTCCAGATCAACGCAGACGTTTTTTCTTTCAAATGTTTCAGGATTTTCCTACTTTCCTCGTTTACATCCCTCACTTTAATCACAAGCGTGTTCTGAACTCAGAGTCCAAGTCCTGAGTCCGTGGACTCAGGAATGTGTTGAACAAAAGGCCCGAGGCCTGATCTGCATTTCTTTTCTGTGTTAATTACAGCTCCGTCCAGAGTCCGCGCCGGCTGAAAGATGACGGTTCTTATTGCTTTTGTTGATGCTTCGAGGATTGAGATGTGAAACGTGAACCTTTTTTTTTTTTTGGGGGGGGGGCAAACTCCACATCATTAATCCAAATCTGAGGCCTTTTCAAACACAGAGCTGGACTCTGGGAATGAAAGTCTCCAAAAAAAAAGAGTTGTCTTTGTTTCCTGCACCGTTCCTTCTGTCTTTGAAGAAACATGAACAAGTTTAGGTCTGATTGTCTGTGCCTTACTCGTTTTACTCGTATCTTAACGTAAAAAGTTTGTAAATATTTTAAGCATCGTTCAGAATGAAAACGTAAAAATCGTTAGAAGACAAATAAAACCTTTTGCTGATGAGCACGATGCAACAAGATTAACAGACACAACGCACCTTAAAGGGATCGTACTTAAGCTCTTTTGAAGTGCTGAGCAATAAATATCTTACCTGCTGTAGATAGCTCTTCGAACGGCCTCAGTTTGGGAAAATTTAGTTACTGTATTTTTCGGATTATAAGGTGCCTTAAGCAAAACTAAAACAGATAAGTCAAACTTCATTCAACTTATTCACAATAACCTCATAAAATTGGTTCGAGGTCATTAAGCACAACCAGAATTAATATATAAGGCTCACTGTTGATTTGTGACAAAAATTAAAGGGTTTTAACTGCGCCTTATGGTCTGAAAAATTCGTTAAATTCTGACAGGATTGATGATGTGAGTGAGCAAAACCAAAACAAATTGCCCCTGTCTTAAAACATCAACCTCAAAATGTTTTGCATTTCAGGAAAAAGGATATTTTTAAACCCTCATGCCGGTGTTTTCCAAAGCTAGGGTCATGACCCTACTGAGGACCAAGTTAAGGGTCTTGAGATGTTTTCTGGAAGCTAAGCAAAACTTAAAAAATGACTCGTACCGTGTTTCACTATAATTGTTACAAATAATTAAAAGAAACTGTCACAAGTGGGCTGTATAATACAAGTTTAATCTATTTAACTGGACATTATTCTGCGACTTATTTACCTTTTAGCCATGTTTGCGTGGTTCACCCGGGGATATTTGGGGTTCCAGGTCTTTGTCATTTTGTGGGTCAGAAGCTTCTTTAAACCACCGTCAGCTTCACATTACAGTTATTAAAGCAGAAATATGAATCCCTGCCAGGAGTGAAACAGCTAGCTGCTGCTGCCACTGTTTACACGAGAGTTTTGGCACGAGTCAGACTAGCCATGAGCTCATCAGTGTGGTCAGAAATAAACTTGATTTCCATCAAACTAGGCGCCGGCCTCGGTTTTCAGAAACACACGTCTCTGCTTCTGTTCAGCTCCTCGAGATGCTTTGGTTACCGTGACGACCTGAAAAACGGCAACGAACGCACGAGCTCTGCAGAGTCACAGACGTGCGCACGCTCAGCCTCTTTTCACGGAAATGTCGCTTTCACAAAAACTGAGGTTGTAACAACAACAAGGAGAAAAGTCTCAGACACAAAAACGTCCAGAGGTCCAATAGGTTTCATTCCTGGTTGTCATGACGCAGGCAGGACTCAGGAATAATAAAGCAACGATATTTATTTAAACGACACAAATCACAAACTTACATCCACACGATGAGGTGACACGGAGACAGGACGTGACGCCAAAGAGGACGATGAGAAGAGGACGAGACACGGAATAAATAGGAGCACCTGTGATTGACAGTGAGGGACACCTGGGGTGATTAGGGGACAGGTGTGTAGGAGCCAGAAAAACCCAGTGGTGACAAGCAACACACCAGTTCTCACACTGGTTCAGCTCAACCGACCGTAAAATGTTTATTTGTATAAAAATTGGTTATTTACACAAAAACCGCGGCAGCTTCCGGTTCCATGTGTCAGCGTCTGTTCAGTTACTTTTTGTGTTAACGGTCGGGTTTGTTCTATTTTCTGCACAAACTGCAGAGCAGAACGCCTGAAACAAACCGGAGAGTTAAAGTTTCTTTGGGTCACCTTTTTAAAAAAAGGAGTCTTAAGTATATTCTCTCTGATTCTCCTAAATGAGATTGAGCTGACTGCTATCTACTGCAGGTAAGACAGTGACTGATCAGTTATTCCACTGATCTCCACTTAAAAAAGCAGAAATTGTCCTTTGAGATATCCTGATGCATGCTCAATAATCCAGGTAGAAAAATCTAAAAATGTTAAATCTGGTCCTCTGGACATAAAAAAAAAAAAAAAAAAAAGCAAATCAACAAATCCTTTGAGACTTAAAGTGTCCATTTTAAAGCAAACTAACCCCTTCTTTAATGTTCGTACAGTGAAACTCGTAGTCTTAAAAGTATTTTTTTAGCTTATTTGATGCACAAACAATTTAAATAACTCAAACTATTCTGTTAGTTTTGTCATAATATCAAGTATAATTAAAGTATTACTTAACTAACATGACATAGATGCCTGTGCGGGCATTAACGACTTGGCTTTGAGTGTTTTTTTCACAGTTTACTGAAATGTTTAGTGTCTAAAAAAACCGATGTAAAGATCATGAAGTCCGAGTCTCACCAGCTCCATCCTCAGCCAGGCCAGAGCGCTCTCTATGTCCAGTCGGCCTCCTCCTCTGAGGTGGGGAGTTTGACTCTGAGGGTCCCGCCACAAACGCTGCTCTTCCTGTTTGTTGTCGTCAAAGGTGGAGGTCCTGCAAGAGAAGTCCCTCAGCCTGGTTAGGACCACCTCCATCGTCCTGAGCGGGTCCCTTCTACACCTTCTGGTGTGTCGTTTTGCAGCTTGGTCTGTTGCTTCCGTCAGTGGAAGCTCTCAGGACTTATGAGGAACTCTGTCTCCTCTTTCATATGTGCACCTCCCTTTCCTTTGACGTGTCTCTCAATCTTTACCCCGGCGACTTTTAGGCTCAATCAGCCGAGTGTCGTCACCTGGCAGGCGAATGTGGCGGAGCTGCTCAGACGTCAGAGGCCTCAGCTGGAGTTGTTTACCGCTCTTCGAGGCCTTTTATCAAATGCACACGCTCCATAATGATCGGGAGAGGATGGGAGGAGGCTGGTGGTTGCCGTGACGACAGCACTTTCATGTCTCAGGAGACACAAGAGCTCCAGTGAGCTCTGGTCCGTTTTTTTGTTTGGCGAGTTCGGTCTGGAGAACAGTGTGGACAGCCGCGTGGAACTAACGGCTCTCATGCCGTCTTCTTCTGCCGGCGCAGCCCGTGGCAACGGGACACAAGACGCCGTTCTGCTGCTCCAACCAAAATAGACCCAAAAACTATTTTTAGAGCCGAACTGGCTCCAACTTGAGGGCCTTTAATGAAAACAAAAGGTCACTTCTTTTCCCCCTCAGAGTCCAAATATCTCACTTCTTCCCTTAAAAACATTTTATAGAACTGAGCTTCCATCAGCACTGAAATCAAGACAAGTAACACTTCAATAATAAGTATCTTACCTGTTGTAGATGGCTCTTATTTGTGAATGAGACGCCCAGATACCTGAACTCCTCCACCTGAGGACCTCAAGGGGGCATTCCAAATTCAAAGAAGCAGACTTTAATTTAATTTTTGGCAAATATGTGTTAGAAAAATTGAATAAAAGGAGTGAAGCGTGTTCATTAGATCACGCTAATAGTTTGGTAGCCACTACAACCCAACTTCCTGCATTAATGTTTTGCTCTCAAATCCACTAGAAATATTAAGAAATACCTTTAAAAATTTAAAAGAAATACAAGTCACATACTCAACAAACAGGCCAAAATGTTATTTAATTTAACCCTCATGCATCCCTTGGGTCAAAAGTACCCACAATGCCTCAGTTTTAAAACTAGACATGTAGGTCATTTTGACCCATTGGACTAAATGGTTAATTATATGTTTTTTCTTTTACTTTTAAATGGGATGCAAAATATTTCCATAAATAAATGTGGACTCACATAGGCCTGCATAGTTTTTTTATTTACTCAAAATTGATATAAAATACATTGTTTTAAATTTCTTCTTTGCATGAACGTAGTATTTTATTGTACAAAAATGTAACAAAAATACCAACAAACTGTTGAAATTTGTATTTTTATTTTTCTGTCACCACCTGTGGGCCGGGACAGCCTCCTTCCAACAAACTCAAAGTGGCCCACGGGCCACCAGTTGATGAGCATAATTTTAGCACGTTTTTCTGCTCCTGACACATTTTATTTAGATTTTGATGACGTTTGATTTTATTTTGGGACATGAATGGCGTTTTTAACTGTAAAGTTTGCAGACCAAGTGTGAAAACACACAAAGACGGATGCAAAAACATGATCGCTCTCGTGTTGTACTTCATCGGTGGATGCAGATGGCTGGTCTGCACCTTCTGGGTGTCATTTCTTTATATTTTAAATTTATCTTTCTCTAATTTCCACATTGAACTTCTCAGTCTATGAAGCTGTAGTGCGACTGGCTGTCGCCCCCTGGTGGCCATTTATATAACAACACACAGAGTTAATTTGGTCAAAGAACCGATGTGATCACATGAGGGCCCTCTGCAGCCGGTTCTGTGGAGGAGGTTGGGTCTTTAGTTCTGGTCGGTGTGAAGTTAGAACCCCCCAGAACCTTCAGCACCCAATAAACCAGAGGTAAAACCTCAGAAAAGGAGCCAGATCTCGCTTTTTAAAGTCACTCCGGGTGTTTCCCCTCATCTTTTTTTTCTTTCTTTCAACTTTCATGTTGCAGAGTTCGGGTCCGGTCCACTTCCCAGAACCTTTGCACACGGTGCAGAGTCACACGGCTGCAGCAAGGTTTGCACCCATCATCTTCATCCTCATCATCAGGCAGGATGGGTGCAAACCTCTGCATCCATCACAGGAGACAACACATCTGGAGGAAGAGTCCAGCGGTTCCTCTGAAGGAGCAAACGTTTGGGTTTGAATTATTTATTTTTAATTTATTGTTTTATTCAAGACATCAGTGATGTTTAAGAGCAAGAATCCAGAGGAAGTCCACCTGGTGACAGAACCCAAGAAGATTTATACACTCCCTGGAAGGTAAGACACAAAATCAAGGTTTGTTCCTTAAAATGTAACTTAAATCTTTATTATTTGTATTTACTGGACATGTAGTGACTGAGCTGCACCCATAAAGAAGTTCAGATGTTCTCAGCTGATTGTGCTCTCACTCCTGTGGGTTTTCCACACGGACCTGATGGGATTAAAACTGAGTGCAAACCTGCATCTCATTAATCTGATTTAATCTGGCAGTTTATCATCTGATTAATCGCCAAAAGGAGTCAAACTGGGTTAAACAGCATGCACAGTTCTAAACGGTTAATTAATTTTAGTTAATCCAAAATCTAGCAGTTTAGAGATATCCTTAAAACAATTAATAAAATCTTAATTTATCTGCCGCTTAAATGAAAAAAAAAAGTAACTTTTAACTGTTAAAACACATTGGAGGTGAAGAAAAAGGCATTCAATATTTATTTAGTAGAAATTACTTTCATTAGGGTGAGTTTAAATTAGTCCTGGAAGATGAGTGTCTAAATAAAAAATGTTTTAAAGTCAAATTATGAAGTATTTTCTGAAAACATATGTCAGATCTGAATCCACACTGAAGTTTAAAGTTACCCAAAGTGTTTGGAACTAAACCAGATTGATGAAATGCTCATTTTCTGCAAAAGTTTGTCCTTTTTTTTGTCACTTCTGTTGCTATTTTTGTTTGTCTTTTTGAAGGAAACTCTGAATTTAACAACCCCTCGTGTGCAGAAAAAGATCAAAAACTGAGTTAAAAAATGACGATGGCATCAGATTAGCTCTGATTTGACGTATAAAGTTAGTAAATCCACTTCATAAAAACTCTGAATTTCTTAGTATATTAGTTTAAATCTGACTCTTAGTCAGATATTGTAATTTTCAAAACAGAAAATCCAAATTTGACTCAATTAGAAGGTTAAATACTCTAAAAACCAGTTTTCTGACTCTGGAACAGTGTTTAGTTCTGGGACACTTCATGACCAGTTTTCTAATCATTAAAACTTAAAAAATTTGAAGCCATCCATGCCTTGATGTCATCAAAACATTTTAACTGAGGGCGAATGGAGAAAGAACTGTTAGGTTTTAAGGGCAGATAAATTGGACAATCATCAGCATAACAATGAAATGAAAGACCATGTTTCCTCAGGATAGACCCAAGAGGGAGCAGATAGAGTGAAAACAGAAGGGGTCCAAGAATCGAGCCCTGTGGGACCCCACAGGAAAGAGGCACTGACGCAGATACACTATTTCCAACCTTAACACCAAAACTGTTTAGGTACCTACAAAAACAGCCAAAGTAACTAAAAATATGTATTATCAAAATGAATCACAATGAGCCGGGCTTTTTTTCTATATTTACCTGTTTCTATTTCAAAATCTCTATCTTAGAAGCTTAAAAAGATTTATAGTTTGTCAAAGGACAAGGAATTACAGCCCTATATTTAAAAAGGGAAAACTCTGAGCTTCACGATGACTCCAAACATTATACAAAGGGATTTCCCAGTGCTATGGCACTGACAAATGGTTTGTTTTTAAAGAAAGGTTTATACCTTAAAGGATTGCTTCTAAAGACCAATCTGTTAGAAGACTTGGGTTTTAAAGGCAGATTAGGATTATTAAATGCTATTTTAGCTATCAGGTTTGCTATGGCGTCTTTGTGGATGGATCTTTACACAAATCTCAACATTTAAATTTATTTTGCTGTCTGAACTCATTTAGACTTTATTTCCCAACTCGTGTCACATATCCAGAAAACTACCGGAGTCAACTCTTTCAAACTGTCCCATTTGACATAGTTCAGGATACAATTTTTTATTTTTTATATATGATTTTGTACTTTGCAATGAATAACTTTTAATATAATGACCAGATTAATCTCTGTGTTACTCAGGGGCACAAACATGGACTTAATACAAATTGAAAAGCTGTAGTTACACAACTTTTTACCCATTGTGTAGCTTTGCTATTCACTGCGCAAACTGTGCGTTTTGTTTTACATGTGCAGTGTGCCAAACGATGAAGAGTGGCAGAAAGATGCCAAGCACTGCCACGACAACAGCCGCGCACAGGCGGAACGAGAGACGGAGAAGAAAAATGCCAGACGGAGGTTATATGTGGTTTCTGTCATCTGTTTGCTTTTCATGGTCGGTGAGATCGTCGGTAAGTCATGCAGTTTTATTTTTCATCAGTTTCAAATTGTCATTTCAGGAATGAAATGACCAATTAATAAAATAATTTTCCTTTTTTTTTTTTCTGCAGGTGGATATTTGGCGGGAAGTCTTGCAGTGATGACGGATGCAGCCCACCTTCTGACGGACCTAACCAGCTTCATCATCAGCTTGTTCTCCCTCTGGCTCTCCTCGAAACCCGCCACACAAAAACTCAGCTATGGCTGGCACCGTGCAGGTACACAGAACCGCGGGATGCACAGGAGCTTACACTGACTGGTCAAATACCCCTGAATTTAATGAGATATGTTAAAACAGCTTTTCCCATCATAATCCATACCATTACCATACCATACCATACCGTTTTGGATTTAATTCTGACAGGGAGCCAGTGGAGAGAAGCTAAAACAGGAGAGGCATGATCTCTCCATACTAACGTCATGATATGAACATTGTTTAGATTACTGGTAAGTGTATTTCAAACCAAAAGTAGACATGAAACTATTTAGACCACAATGCATCATAAAATATCAACTGATCATGCACACTACTGTAAAAGGGTCAAATAAGCAAACTATCTGTCAAGCTAATTTTCTTTTGAACTAGCAAGCCACAAAGCTAATCAGGGTAACTTGCTATTAAGCTAACTGGCTATTGAGCTAATTTGCTTTGAACTGAAAAGCCATTGAGCAAACTTGGTGTAACACTAACTATTGAGCATATTGGCTTTTAAGTGAACCCGCTTTTTAGCAAACTTGCCATTGAGCTAACTTGCAAAATAGCCATTAAGCTAACCAGCTTTTATAATAACTAGCTATCAACTTACTTTCTTTCTTACTGTTTTTACCAGTAATTTATTTGAAAGAAAATGACCAGTTGAAAAGTCTCATAACCAAATGAGTTATATTACATGACTGACCATACCATACCACACCACACCACACCACACCATACCATACCATACCATACCATACCATACCATACCACACCATACCAATATCATACCATACCATACCATACCACACCATACCAATATCATACCATATCATACCATACCATACCAATACCATACCATACCACACCATACCAATACCATACCATACCATACCACACCATACCAATATCATACCATACCATACCACACCATACCAATATCATACCATACCATACCATACCATACCAATACCATACCATACCAATATCATACCATACCATACCATACCACACCATACCATACCAATATCATACCATACCATACCATACCATACCATACCATACCATACCATACCAATACCATACCATACCATACCACACCATACCAATATCATACCATACCACTTTATTTATAAAGCACTTAAAACAGCAACAAGGCCAACCAAAGTGCTGAATATAAATAGAGCAGCCAAGTAACCATTTTAAATTTTAGCATAGCCATTACATAAATAGTTTGTCAAAGTAAAATACAAATAGCCTATGCTATTATGTGTTAATGTTTATGAATAATATTTCAAGCTAGAAAATCTAAACAAGAGTGACACAATATTAAAAAATTAAATGATCATGTTGAACATCTTCAGTTGAACTCAAACTGAAATCACTGTTACTGAACAAAACACGAAACAACTGGTTATTTTTATTTTTATTGTCTTCATATCTTTTCAGAAATCATGGGTGCGCTGCTGTCAGTTTTTACCATCTGGTTGGTCACAGGAGTGTTGGTTTATCTGGCTGTGGAGCGGCTCATTAGTGACGACTACACCATTGAGGGTGAAATTATGCTCGTTACCTCAGGCTGTGCTGTGGTGGCCAATATTATGTGAGTCAAACAGACTCATCTATCATTTAAACTGATCTTTATCAATAGGGTTAATAATTTATCACATAGGAGTTCTTGACCCTTAAATCTTTGTGGTTGCTGTCATAAGCTTTGTATCTTAGTGCGTTTTTTCTTCAACAGAATGGCGGTCACCCTTCATCAGTCTGGCCACGGCCACAGTCATGGTGGGCTGAGTTCACATGGACACAGTCACAGTCCAAAGAAAGAAAAAATAAAGAAGCTTACATCAAATGGCATCTACTCAAATGAAGAGTGCATAAACATGGAGCAAAGTCATGCAGATCATGGTTTGTTCCATCATATTGGGACATGGTTTCAAATAAACACCATATTGACATTATTTCTGTTTCTTTAATGTCAGGTAAGAGGGCTCAGCAGGCCAATGCAAGTGTGCGAGCAGCTTTTGTTCATGTGATGGGAGATCTCCTGCAAAGTGTCAGTGTGCTAGTTAGTGCCATCATCATCTTCTTCAAGGTAACGTCTCTGTTTCTGTATCTGTACTCAGAAACATAAAAGATGTGCTATGAGGTGCAGAAACACTTTATTTCTAAAGGTTTATGGGTTTTAAAATAAAATGTGTTGATTATTTTTCTTCTCAGTAACAGATTCAAGTTTCTTTCAGCTAAAATTCCAAAATCCCTGATTGTTCTCTGCAGCTGCATTTAAGAGGATTTCTTTGAAACAATTGTTTTTTAAATAAAATAAGTTGTGCACCTTATTCCTGCATTGTGTTCTCCCTTCCAGCCAGAATACAAGATGGCCGACCCGATCTGCACCTTCCTGTTCTCCATACTGGTCTTGTGCACCACCTTCACCATCATGCGAGACATCCTTCTCGTCCTGATGGAGGGTGAGGCTGTGATTTTGTTTTATCTTTACAAAAGCTTAAAGGTTTTCTCAAACTTTCACTTGTTCTTCTCTCATATGTCTCCGTCGCAGGCACTCCGTCGGGGGTGAAGTACAGCGAGGTGCGAGACCGTTTGTTAGCGGTAGAGGGGGTCACGGCGGTCCACAACCTTTACATCTGGGCCCTCACCATGAACCAGGCCGTGCTCTCTACACACGTTGCTATAGGTGGGAAAGTGACGGGTTTTCTCTGCTGACACCTTGAACATTATTCAACCACTGAGTGATGCAACTTTTGAATCTGGTGCCTCTTATAAACCTGATTCATAAACGAGTGTGGAGTTAGCTGAGGAGAGCCGAGCTGCTGAAGATCATTAATATGTTATAAGACTAGAAGAACACAAAGAATGACATTTTCTGTTAAAGAAAACTGTGATGCTAAAGAAGTTGAAACAGTTGTAAAAGCTAAATTAAGCAGAATGCTACCTACGAGCTAAAAGTAGCTAAATGCTAGTTGAAAGCTAATTAGCAAAACTAGGTGAAAGATAAATGTAGTAAAAGTTAGCTAAATGTGGCAACAAGTTAGCTAAAAGCTGCTAAATGGTAGCTAGACGCAGCAAAACACTAGCTAAAAATTACATGCAACAAAAGTTAGATAAATGTAGCTTTTTTTTAGCATGAAACTAAAAGTTGCAAAATGGCTGCTAGAAGTAATAAAAGGCTATAAAAGTAGTCAAACACTAGCTAAAAACGAAAAGTACCTAAAGTTAGACAATTGTAGCAGAAGTTAGTTTAAATGTAGCATAAAGCTAAAATTTGCTAAATGTTTACTAGAAATAGCAAATGGCTAGCTAAAAGTTAAAATAGCAAAATGCTCACTTATTGTTACAAAGATAGCTAAAAGTAGAAAAAGATAAATGCCGTGGTGGAGAAAGTACTCAAACACTGTACTTAAGTAAAAGTACAAATAAACAGACAAAAATGTACTCTAGTAAAAGTAGAAGTACCACATTAACGTTTTTACTTAAGTAAACGTAAATAAGTACTTGCTTTTAAAAATACTTTAAGTATTAAAGTAAAGTACTTGCTGAATGTATTACTTATGCAATGGTCTATAATATTATTAAGCGTACCAACTGTACGTATATTTTCTGTAATACATTAATAGTGTTGAGCCATTTTAATGAACAATGCTGCAGATAATACATGTTTTTATTGTGTTTACTCTGTGACACAGTTCACACTTGGACTTGTGATTCTGTGCAGCAGAATTTCAGGGATGACATGTAGAGTTAAATGCCAATAATCAAAATAAGAAAGAGGAATGATTATACCTTTGAAAGTTTTTATTTAACACAAAGCAAAACCAAGGTGTCATTTTAACTGCAGTAAAACATTTAAGTAAAAGTTGTCTGCCTGAAAAAAGGAGCATTAGATCTAACAAAGGAATAACTGATCATTTCAACTCCACTTTGTCATAAACTCTATTTAAAATACTGTCTAGTCAACCTTGTAATGGGTCAATAGTGAACAATATTTTAACTTCCTGACACCATTTTCAGAACTTGGACCCGTGTGTCGAGCCATGTGGAGACATCTCTTGTCTCCCAACATCCCATGAACTGACACATTTTAATATTGTGGCAAGAATTTATTGTTCAAGTTCAGAAGAAGTTGGTTTTCAAAGTTTTTTGAGTCCAGTCTGGCTCTTTGTGGAGAGAGAGAGTCTGTCCTGCTGTACTGAATAGTCTTACAATAGTCTTTCAATAGCCTTTCAATAGTCTTTCATTAATCTTTCAATAATCTTTCAATAATCTTTCAATAAGACCATGGGTGGTGCGTATCTTCTGGCTGACTCTCTGGGTGTGTTGTGGTGCTGCAGGTGCGCCCAGCTCAATGACATACTGTATATACTAGAAGATACGTCAGTGGCCCAGCTCTTCTTGAAGGTGCATGGGTCTAATGTTACCTGTCCACTTTGCAGTGATTCAATGGACCAACTCTCCTCTCACTATTGGTAACTTTCAAATTAACGAACATATAAAAGAAACGTAACGTGAATGTAACTTGTAACACAACGCATTATAGAAATGTAGTGTAGTAGAAAGTACAGATGTAGTGGAGTAAAAGTCAGAAGTACCCACGTTTAAATCTACTTAAGTAACGTACAGATACAATAAAAATGTACTTAAGTACAGTAACAAAATACTTGTACTTTGTTACATTCCACTACTGGCTAAATGTAATATGTGCGCTAAATTCAACAAAATGTTATCCAAAGGCTGGCTAAAACCTAAAAGTAGCAACAGCGACCTTGTAACAACATTTAAGCTAAAAATGACCCACAGTTTAGATTTATGGAGTTACCAAAATAAAAGCCTAAAGAGTTGGAACTAATTCTAGTAAAGTCTAATGTCAAAACAGGTTATTCCTTCTACTAAAATAGTAAAAAGCCAAATCACATGTTTTTTGTGTGTTTTCATCTTTGCTACAAACTGAAACTCCGTCAGTTTTAATTAGGCACGACCGAGCTTTAGAACGTCTTTGTTTTGGTTTTCTGTCTCCTCAGATGACTCCGTTGATGCTCAGACCGTCCTGAGAGAAATGACCCAGGCTTGTTTCTCCTCCTTCAACTTCCACTCCGTTACCATCCAGATGGAGCGGCAGGCGGACCTGAAGCCTGGCTGCACGCTGTGTGAAACCCCCCAGAAGTAGAAATCTCGCTGAATAATACAGTGCATGTGTGTTTTTTTTAATATATTCCTAACGTTGTGTTGTTAGAACTGCAACTCTTCATAGGTGTTTTTTTTTTTATCATCAGTGTTTTCCTGATCAAAGTCCACATCTGTTAATTTTCTCTTCTAACACTAGAACAAATATTGATATTAATGAAGAGAATATATGTTGAAGGAAAATGTCCTTACAATTCTCTTTTGTTTGTGTTTTATTGTTTCAGGCAGTGTAACGGAGCATATTGATGGTTCCACTTTTCCTTTAATAATGTTCTGATAAACTTATGTCCAAGTTTGAATTATGATGTTATTTGATTATTTCGCCTTTCCTTCACTTTCTGCTTCATCGTGCTCTTTATTTCTGTATTTATTTATATTTTTAATAATTCCCTTCACTTTTCGGCTGATCATTTCCTTTTAACCCAAAATGTGCCAAAGAAATGTCAAAAGTCCCATTGTATAAATCCTGTAGTTTGCTGGATCTTTATAAAGAAGTGACCTGTGATCTTATTGATCGTGTTTTCTCAGCCCACTAATGTCGAACAGCACTGCTTCCAGTTAGGTTTAAATCAAACCCAGAGAGCATTGGGTGAAGGAACAACTCTAAAAGACTCATTGTAGAAAATTAACAGTGTTTTATTTACAGTGGAAATTAATTCACAAGCATGGGAAAGAGCTGGGACCAGGTGGATTGGGAGAATGGTGCGCCACGTGGGTTAACATCCAAAGGTTCCAGGGGTATGAAGAATAATCCAAGGGGAGTCCAGCAGAGTTGGGCAGTGGCAGGAAGGTGAGGAAACAGCTGAGGAGTTCACAAGGAGATCAGAAAACAACTGGAATCAAACTGCAACACGTGAGAAGTACTACCGGTAATTAGAATTTCACAAAACTCAGGAACAATGTTAGTTGGCCAGAAGTATACTACCAAAGGCAAGTAATGCAACTGCGTTGAATTGGAGTCCTCTGCTGCCTCTTAAACTCCAGCCTCTCATTAAGGGAGATGATCTCCAGGTGTGGCTGGTTGGCACCGTCATGTGATCTTAAGCTGTGGAAAAAGGCTGAACTCCTACACCTTCTCTCCAGTGTGAACTCAAAGTCAGTCATTGATCCTGTTCGCCTGTTTTGACGTGAAACTCTGGAACAGAGGATGACGCTTTAATCCGACTGATTTAATGCATCTGTGTTAATCTGGACACACTTCACCCCGTGTTGTAAACATGACGCTCTGAAGTGGAGGACTGGGACACAGACAGTACAGTAGTTCCTCGTTTATTGCGGGGGATCCGTACCCTGAAGTCCTGCGATAAGTGAAAAACCACAAAGTAGGAATAGTAGTACAAGTAGTAAGTAGTACTTTATTATCTATCTATCTATATATATATATATATATATATATATATATATATATATATATATAT